CAAGGATTTTGGAGTACCTCCAGGAGAGCTTCCTGGAGATGTCCCTGGAGGATTTCCGCTCCATCCCCAGACACGTTAACAGACTTTTCCAGTAGCTGTACTGGCCGCGAATGCATCCCAAGTCCTCAGGGCAAAGTAATCATTAAAAACCCTTGCTTTTAAAACAAGTTTTATATTTGAAAAGGTAAACTCACCTGAGGTCCCTTCCATGGGGTCGTGGTCTTGGATACTGGGTTGGGAGGGTACTTCAGTCAGGCTGAGAAAAAGATCCTGGCTGTTGGGGAGAACGGAGTGCTGTGTGCTCTCCGCAAACTCGTCCTCCTCCCCCTCCTCCTCCTCCTCTTCCCCATCCGCAGAATCCTCAGGTGTGGCTGATGAGATTACCCCTGCCTCGGAATCCACAGTCAGAAGTAGGGTAGTGGTGGCGGCCCCCCCTAGAATTGTATGCAGCTCGGCGTAGAAGCGGCATGTCCACTGCTCTGACCCGGAGCGACCATTTGCCTCCTTTGTTTTTTTGATAGGCTTGTCTGAGCTTCTTGACTTTCACGTGGCACTGATCTGAGTCCCTATTGTGGCCTCTCTCCATCATGCCCTTGGAGATTTTTTCAAAAGTTTTGGCATTTCGTCTTTTTGAATGAAGTTCTGCTAGCACTGAATCCTCTCCCCATACAGCGATCAGATCCAGTACCTCCCGTACGGTCCATGCTGGTGCTCTTTTTTGATTATCGGCCTGCATGGTTACCTGTGCTGATGAGCTATCTGTGGTCACCTGTGCTCTCCACGCTGGGCAAACAGGAAATGAAATTCAAATGTTCGCGGGGCTTTTCCTGTCTACCTGGCCAGTGCATCCGAGTTCAGATTGCTGTCCAGAGCGGTCACAATGGTGCACTGTGGGATAGCTCCCGGAGGCCAATATCATCGAATTGCGGCTACACTAACCCTAATTCGAAATGATAAAATCGATTTTGGCGCTACTCCGCTCGTCGGGGTGGAGTACAGAAATCGATTTAAAGAGCCCTTTATTTCGAATTAAATGGCTTCGTTGTGTGGACGGGTGCAGGGTTAATTCGATTTAACGCTGCTAAATCCGAATTAAAGTCGTAGTGTAGACCAGGCCTAAGAGTCCGGTTCAATCACCCCTACTGGTGACCTACTCGGGGTGTTGAATTGTGTTACATACGCAACACAGAATCATAGAAACGTAGGGCTGGAAAGTCATCAAGTCCAGCCCCCTACACTAAGGCAAGACCAAGTAAACCTAGACCATCCCTGACAGTTGTGTCTCCAATCTATTCTTAAAAACCTTCAATGATGGGATTCCACAACCTCCCTTGGAAGCCCGTTCCAGAGTTTAATGACCCTCCTTTGGTGCACATTAAACCCATTACTGTTTGTCTCCCCGCCAGTGAACATGGAGAACAACTGATCACAGGCCTCTTGATAACACCCCTTAACATACCTGAAGACAATGATCAGGTTGCCCCCTCTATCTTTTTTTCTCAAGACTACATATGCCTTTTTTTAGCCTTTCCTCACAGGTCAGGTTTTCTAAACCTTTAATCATTTTTGTTGCTCTCCTCCGGAGGAGGTGAGGCCAAGCCATGCTGCCCCCAACACCAACCAGCAGGGCTGGCTCAGCCCTGAGAGGGGAGCACACACTGTCCCTCTCCTAGGGGCAGCAGCTGCACTCTGGGCTAACTCCTGGCAGCGTCGTTCCTCCCATAGGCACAATGCCCCCCGCACTTCCCGTAGGGAGGCGTGGCCGTGGCCCCATACCAGGGGCAGTTCCTACGAGGCAGCCTCTGGCACTGAACTTGAGATTCACCCAAAACAATGGGATGGGCCTGATCCCACTGACAACAATGAAGCCGGCCAGAGCCTGAAGAACTGACTTGTCTTCTCTTCCTGAGGCCTGGTCCACATGCCACTTTTGACCCAATGTAACGGTTTGGTTCAGGGTGTGATTTTTTTAGCAAAATAGTTAAATCAGCACAACCCCCCCAGTGGGGGCAGTTATACTGGTATAGTGGTGCCTCATACCTAGATAGCTTATTTCCCTTCCATTATAGGAATAAGCTATACTGGTATAGGCACCACCAACTTTATACTGGTATAATTGCATCCACACTGCGTGGGCGCTCCACTGCTTTAAGCTATACCAGTAAATCTTGTGTGTGCAAACAAGGCTTCAGAATATACACATATTCTCGTCCTATTATTAGAAACTGCATATGTGTGAGAGAGAGAAACGACCAAAGGTTTGGAGCCAACAGTTAGATGCTTCTCTGAAATAAAGAAGGGGAGAAAAATATATTCATAGAGAGTTTATTCGATTGTCACAAAGAAGTGGTGAATACATTCTACTGACTCGCTGGAACTAGCTAAATAGTAGGACAAATTATTTGCAAGTGATTTATTCAAAATTGAAAAAAATTGTCAGATACATTATTTGTTGCAAATCATTAGCTCACATATTTAGTCACCAGGACACACACAACTGTTGTGTTGGCTCTTAAAGCCAATACTGGCGAAGCCCCATGGATTTATAAGGTGTATTAATTGGGGGTCGTCGTCTTCTCGATATTTTATAAGCAAGCAGCAGGAGAAAAGCATGTTATTGAAATTTGTAAACTTCTGTAGGTTTATTTTCTTGCCACATTCCATGGCTCTCCACGATCCAGGTGCAATGCAAAGGGGTGTTACACTGAGCGATCTGTTCACCCCTTTTCACCTTTATAGAATGGGTTGATATATTTACCATGCCCGCTACATTACCGATGGATTTGTAGGAGGATAACTTCTTGGGGTTCACTTTATTAATAGTTTTTGTTTTTCCTGGATCAACTGCAACCCCTGAGTTGAAGTAGCTGTCTCTCACGTGGCTTAGAATTCTTTCAGGACTCAGCACTTGGGCTAGCAGGCCTTCGTGAACCACAACATTGATGACTTCTTCGGTTTTGTTGGTAACTTTAATGATGTAGCTGGATTTATCAGGTACAAAACTGGATCAGAAAGAAATGATTAGTGTGTCAGTCCTGCCCATGGAAAGAGCACTTTGTTAATGAATCTGAAGCTTTCAAAGTTTTCATGCACACGCTAACCCCTGTTCCCCCCGCACCTTACAACTCTCCAGAGAAAGCACCAAATATAGACAAAATAGCAATGGACCAAAACTGGGACCTTGTATATGAACACATCTCCTGGCCTCAGGGTGAGGGACTCGGATCAGAAGGGGATCTAGAACTGAACCACCCTGATGTTTGAGTGTGGCCTTGCAAAAACAAGGTAACTATATTATGTGGCACCAGAACCCGACCCTTCCATCCCATCCCCTGGTTTGCCCATAATAAGGATGGGAAAACACCCCCAGGTCCGGTAGTTTAGATAAAATTGAAGCAAGGTCCTAACAGTCTCCTGGGTTGGGGGTTTATTACACCAAACGAAAGCTTAATGGACCAAGATTTGCAAAACCAAACCAGCCTCTTTGGTCCAGATACACAGGTTAGGGGTCTGGCCAAGATTTACATGTGATTGTGAAGGACTGAGTGAAGACCGTTCCTTCCCTCCTTTCTGTACTGTTCCATCATAGGAGAACAAATAAGACACTCAATATATTAGGAGATTTTCCAGGGCACCAATGGTAGTTAGGCACCTAACTGCCAGTGAAAGTCTATGGGAATTGGGAACCTAACGGCCTTTGAAAAAAATCTCCTTTGAAGTCCTTCACATGTAGAGCAAGTAAAACAAAATGGACCAAGATTTTCAAAACCAGAAGCCACAATGAGGCACCAAAAAATGGCCTAATGTTCAGAAGGACTTACCCACCGCATAGCTTCGAGTGACGTCGGTATGGCTTCATGGGATGGAATTTTTTAAAAAGCAAAGGAAATTACATACGGAAAGTATGTAGGGATTTAGAGGGACTTTATTCAGGTTGCCAAGTCACGCCCACAGAAGTTAGAAAATGGCAGAATGAGGTTGCTTGTGCAACCTTAATTCAGCCCCTTGTGCATATGCATCATGGCAGCCTTAATGATGTGATTACCATTTATCCACAGGACTAGAGCTTCGTTCACTGAACAGAACAGACAGTGAATGAGGCAGAAATTGTAAAGAAAGGAAATGTGTTAAGGCATTTGACTAGAACCCAGGGAGCTGGGTTCTGTCCCTAACTCTGTCTCAGACTTCCTCTGTGATGAGGTGGAAGGCTATATCAGAATGCACATGCAAAAAGGGGGCCAAATTCAGATTGAAGAGGCAATAATAATTCTGGCATTTTCTGACTTGTAACCTTAATGTAGGATTTTGTGTATAATTAGTGATTATGAATGGATTTTTTAAAATTATGTACAGTCAGGTTACCAGCATCGCCAACTCTCACAATTTGATTGCAAATCTCATGATATTTGGTACTTGTCTGAAAGCCCCAGCTCTTGGAATCATATGATTACATGAGAATCTCAGCTTTCATTTTGTTTTGAAAGCAGGTTTCTAGCTCTTATGGTTGCAGAGAAATATTTGAAAACATGAACCGAGTGAGACCTAAGGGCTGAGAGACCAAATGACAAAGAAAAAGAACACAACATTTCATTTTCATCATGATTGTTATGCCAGTTGCATGATTTCATGGGGCCTGACTGGTGGTTTTTGAAGATTTGAGGTTGGGGATTCTGGGTTACAGTGATATAATCTGAAGGAGAAAAATCAACTTACCCAAATGGTTTGCATATTGACTGGTTATCTTCCCGGTAGATTTTGTCATCATCCACAATCCAGGTGCAATGCAGAGGAGTTTGACACACAGCCACCCACTCATCATCCTCTCTTGTCACCTTAATGTAGTACCATTCTGCTCCGGTCAACCCAACTCCATAGGTGAAGATTTTCAAGATACCAACTTCGTTTACAACTGACGTTTCCCCTGGTGAAACTCTCAGCTCCTCCTTAGTGAAGAATGACTTGAGGAGGTCGTAGGTAGGCACGACCAGAGACTCACTCAACGATCGTAATACCGGATTGGTACTAACAACAACGGTGACACATCCCTTACTGTTGTTGGCAACTTGAATGATGTAGCTTGACATTTTAGATGCTAAACTGGAGCAGAAAAGAAAATCATTATCATGTCAGTCCTGCTGCCCCCAAACCCTTGATTTTGATGAAGCCAAGAAGTTTTCTGGATTTAAAATAAAACGGTTTCTTATGATTAACCATGGGAACAAGCTACCAAGGGAAGCGGTAGATTCTCAATCTCTTGAGGTCTTCAAATCCACACTGGCCACCTTTCTGGAAGCTGCTTCAGCCAAACAAGTTATTGGGCTCAACAGAGGGGTAACTGGGTGGGATGTAATGGCCTGCGCAATACAGGTGTCAGACTAGATGATCTAATGGTCTCCCTTGGCCTTAAAATCTATGAATCTCTGACTGATCTCACATGAAGGAAATGCTTGTGAGCACTTCCCCCTCTGGAAACGTATTAGGTTTAATGTCCATTCTCATTGCATAATGAGGGGTGAGTCGACTTTGGACCTCGATGGCATCCTAGCTTGTCTGGGAAATGGCTTGGCTTTCTGCCAGCTCTGAGTCGTAAGCCAGGCTGGCTTGTGAACAAATTCAACTAGAACCCAGTGCTACAAATCCAGCCTGGAGCCTCTTTCTGGAAGATACACCGAGAATCGCTGGGTGACGTTCTCTGCCCTGTGCTACGCAGAAGATCACAGATGATCTAATGGTCCCTCCTGGCCTTACAGTCGATGAGAAGTGACTGTTAGGTGTCGCGAGACGGGCAGAGCTCAGACGACAGGCGGCCAGCATTGCATCTGAGCAATGGGTGAAGGCCAGATCCTGGCGCTCTGACACTTGTGTAATCCCCTTGAGTCTAGTGGCATGTAAGTGACGTCTGAGGGGTGATGCCTGGGAGGAAGGAGGGCAGGTCTGGCTGCATGTCGGTGCAGGACGAGGTTTAGCGCTGATCCCGCTAACACTTACTCACCTGAGCAGCCCCATTTAAATCCCACTTAACCAAGTACAGGGTTCGAGGGTCTGAACCAACAGACCCAAACCTGATTCTGACTTGACTTCTGACTTCACAGCTGTATACTCAGACCTGCCCCGGGCCCTGCCTGGCACGCGACACTCCTGCATTTGGCAGCGTGGTCACACCCGCCTGCACTTCTGATACCAAGTCCGGCTGAGGCCGAGCGAGAGAGCTCTGTCCCGGAGACACACTGCGGGTTAGGGGGAGGTGCAGCAGCCTGCAAGGCTACGAGTTCGAGGCTGGGCTCTTCCCATATCCTCGATGAATACTTCTGGGCCATTCACAGCCCTTCGTGCTCACCCAGCCCACTGCCCCCTGCCCACTGTACAGGATACTGAGTGGGGACACAGGTCACTGTGCGCAGCTAGGAACAGAACCCAGGTCTCTAATAGGACAGCCCAAAGCTCATCTCCTGCACCACTCTGCCTTTCAGAATGAGCCTGGCTAGGCTGCCTGTAACCACCACACCACTCTGCTCCCCGAGCCAGGAACAGAACCCAGTCGTCCCGATAGACAACACGGCACAGCGGTCTCACAAACAGTCGTGTATCCCACTGGCAGAGAGTGCGTCTCCCCCCGCCATGGGGCGACCCATATACAGGGTAACCGCCGGCTTCTTCCGCCCGCCATTCCCAGAGCGCGAGTGGGAGAGGGGGCTTGCTATGGACCCGAAGATCCTGGGGTTAAATTCTGCAGATGACCCAGGCAGGGAAAAAATATCGTGTGCTCATGTAACCGTGTCCCAACGGCCCTGCGGGGCTGAAACGAGGGTGCGCGTTACACTCCCAAGGGACAGGCTTTGCTGTCTTAGGAGAACCCCGTTCCCAGAGTCCCGCCCTGTCGTTAGGGAGCTTCCCGCAGACGGGGTCTCCGCCACCCTGCAGCTGCAGGAAGGGCGCCCAGCGCAGGCCCACTCTGCCCACAGACCTTGCCGGGCAGCTCCATCGAGTGCCCCGCCCTGGGCTTTTAAAGGGGCAGCTCTGGTAACTCAACGTACATCGAGTAACCAAAACAAAGGGGAAAACAAAACAAACAGTGACTCAGATACACCCTGCACTACTGCTCCTTTCACCGTTTCACACCGCGTCCGGAGCCCCGTTCATTCCAGTGTCCTCCCAGACGGCGGTTCTACCTCTAGAACATCACCTCAGGGTACTTCCCTGGGATCTTTGTGCCTGGAGCAGTTGTATAATTGGAGCTTCAGAATTCGCTCCAGGACTAATGGGTTGTTCTCCGCAGATGTGAAATGCAGCAAACCCGTTGAGTGAGAAGGGTCATTCGTACATTGTCACCTCGCTGAGGACTTTACAGGTTTTACCTTCCTGCCGCTTTCAGAAGTCCCGGTTCCGTGTCTGGGCTGAAGCAGCTACTGCAGCTCGGCTGTTTCCTATGAAGGCAGTTGCTGAAGTGTAGCGAGAAGACGCTGCATGAGCTGGGGGGCAAAGGGCTGGGGGGCAAAGAGTAAAACTCAAAGGTTAATGCTGCATCCAAGTTCTGAGAAATCACACAACAGGGGAAATGGAAAGTAAAACTCCACTGCAAGGAACGTCCATCTCCTTCCTGCAAGGAACAGGAGCACTGACCCTCCCAACACCCGTCCAGGAAACTGCTGATGGGCTCCAACACCTTCTGGAGAGGATGAATCCAAATTGGAAGGGGAGATACCATCGGGGGAAGGAAAAACATCCACATGCTCATGCTACCCTGACAGCCCTTTACACGGGGACCAACCCTTGTGGCCCCAAGTTGGGATGGGAGAGGAAAGTTCCCACCGTCCACCTTATCTACAGCTACCCAATGGTCTCGTGTACTGCCACCAGCTCCCTATAGGCTTAGCACTACCCGTTGAAACGTAGCCTAGAAACAATTCCAGAGCCCTGCTCCAGACAGTCACAGACACACAGAGATGGGAAGGGCGGGAGAAACATTTCAAACTAGCATCTAAGTACTTGCAGGGCCCTACTCACTGTATTATCACAAACTGCAGAGGAGCTATCCCCATCGAGAGGAGGGGAAGCATTATCATCTTCACTGGACAGATGGGAAACTGAGGGCCTTGGTAGGGAAAGCAACTTGCCTAAGGTCACATAGGAAAGTCGGTGGCACAGCTAGGAACTCAGCCCAGGTCTGAATCTCCATCCCATGATACCTACCTCCCCCTTTGCCACCTTATTACCTTTCCTGTGGTAGCACCTAGACGCCACAGCCTTGGACCAGGACCCTGCTGTGCTGGGTGCTGCACAAACGCAGATGACACCTGCCCCAAGCAGCTTACAATCTATTCCGGGAGCAAACCAGCCTGGCTCAAGCCTTTCCAAAGGGCTGAATGGCCGTTAAATCCTACTTCAGCACAGGGATTAGAAGCCCAAGTGCCCACAGACCGCGGGGCATTCGGGAACTCTGTCCTGGGCAGCTCCCTGGCCTGTGGCCGAGATGCCTCATCAAGAGACGCAGTCTATGCTGCAGAGGCAATCAAAGCCTGAAGTGCCACATGGGTCAGACCGTTCCAGAGAGGGAAGGAGGAGGTGAGGCCAAGCCATGCTGCCCCCAACACCAACCAGCAGGGCTGGCCAGCCCTGAGGGGGGAGCACACACTGTCCCTCTCTTAGGGGCAGCAGCTGCACTCTGGGCTAGCTCCTGGCAGCGTTGTTCCTCCCATAGGCACAATGCCCCCCGCACTTCCCGTAGGGAGGCGTGGCCGTGGCCCCAGACCAGGGGCAGTTCCTACGAGGCAGCCTCTGGCGCTGAACTTGAGATTCACCCAAAACAATGGGATGGGCCTGATCCCACTGGCGACAATGGAGCCGGCCAGAGCCTGAAGAACTGACTTGTCTCCTCTTCCTGCGGCCTGGTCCACGTGCCACTTTTGACCCAATGTAACGGTTTTGGTTCAGGGTGTGATTTTTTTAGCAAAATAGTTAAATCAGCACAACCCCCCCCAGTGGGGGCAGTTATACTGGTATAGTGGGGTCCATAGATGCCGACTCCCTGGGTGCTCCGGGGCTGGAGCACCCATGGGAAAAAATTAGTGCTTGCGCTGCGAAACAGCTGTTTTGCGCGGCTGGGAGGGGGGGGGGGAGGAGGGGGAACGAGGTGCGCTCGGGGAAGAGGCGGGGCCGGGATTTGGGGAAGGGGTCCAATAGGAGCAGGGAGGGGGCGGAGTTGGGGCAGGGACTTTGGGGAAGGGATTGGAATGGGGGTGGGGCAGGGGTGGGGAAAGGGTGGAGTCGGGGCGGGGGGGGGCACAAGTACCTACTGGCGCCGGGGAAAGTTGGCGCCTATAGTGGTGTCAAATACTCAGATACCTTATTTCCCTTCCATTATAGGAATACTGGTATAGGCACCACCAACTTTATAGTGGTCTAATCTCACCACACTGCGTGGGCGCTCTGCTGCTCTAAGCTATACCAGTACAGTGAAAGCAGTAAATCTTGCGTGTGCAGACAAGGCTTCAGAATATACAGTTATGTGTGAAAGAAACGATCAACGGTTTGGAGCCAACAGTTTAGATGCTTCTCTGAAATAACGAAGGGGAGAAAAATATATTCATAGAGTGTTTATTCGATTGTCACAAAAAGCGGTGAATACATTCTGACGACTTCTTATTTTGCTGTATTTGCCTCAGTGGAACTGGCTAAATAGTAAGACAATTTGCAAGTGATTTATTCAACAAAACTGAAAAGATTTTTCAGATAAATTATTTGTTGCAAATGATTAGTTCACTTAGTCACCAGGACACACACAACTGTTGAGTTGGCTCCTAAAGCAAATACTGGCGAAGCCCCATGGATTTATAAGACATTCATTGGGGTCTTCTTCTGCTGCTTGCTTATAAGAATATTGAGAAGGAGAAAAGCATGTTACTGAAATTTGTAAACTTCTGTAGGTTTATTTTCTTGCCACATTCCATGGCTCTCCACGATCCAGGTGCAATGCAAAGGGGTGTTACACTGAGCGATCTGTTCACCCCTTTTCACCTTTATAGAATGGGTTGATATATTTACCATGCCCGCTATATTACTGATGGAAGTGTAGGAGGATAAATCCTTGGGGTTCACTTTATTAATAGTTTTTGTTTTTCCTGGATCAACTGCAAACCCTGAGTTGAACCAGCTGTCTCCCCCAGGGCTTAGAATTCTTCTAGGACTCAGCAGGCCTTTGTGAACCACAACACTGATGACTTCTTTGGTTTTGTTGGTAACTTTAATGACGTAGCTGGATTTATCAGGTACAAAACTGGATCAGAAAGGAAATGATTAGTGTGTCAGTCCTGCCCATGGAAAGAGCACTTCGAAAGCTTCAGATTCATTAAAGTTTTCATGCACACGCTAACCCCTGTTCCCCCCGCACCTTACAACTCTCCAGAGAAAGCACCAAATATAGACAAAATAGCAGTGGACCAAAACTGGGACCTCGTATATGAACACATCTCCTGGCCTCAGGGTGAGGGACTCGGATCAGAAGGGGATCAGGGTGGTTCAGTTCTAGATGTTTGAGTGTGGCCTTGCAAAAACAAGGTAACTATATTATGTGGCACCAGAACCCGACCCTTCCATCCCATCCCCTGGTTTGCCCATAATAAGGATGGGAAAAATACCCCCAGGTCCAGTAGTTTAGATAAAATTGAAGTAAGGTCCTAACAGTCTCCTGGGTTGGGGGTTGATTACACCAAACGAAAGCTTAATGGACCAAGATTTGCAAAACCAAACCAGCCTCTTTGGTCCAGATACACAGGTTAGGGGTCTGGCCAAGATTTACATGTGATTGTGAAGGACTGAGTGAAGACCGTTCCTTCCCTCCTTTCTGAACTGTTCCATCATAGGAGAACAAATAAGACACTCAATGCATTAGGAGATTTTCCAGGGCACCAATGATAGTTAGGCACCTAACTGCCAGTGAAAGTCTATGGGAATTGGGAACCTAACAGCCTTTGAAAAAAATCTTCTTTGAAGTCCTTCACATCTAGAGCAAGTAAAACAAAATGGACCAAGATTTTCAAAACCAGAAGCCACAATGAGGCACCTAATAAATGGCTTAATGTTCAGAATGACTTACCCACCACACAGCTTCGAGTGACGTCAGTATGGCTTCACGGGACGGAATTTTTTTAAAAGCAAAGGAAATTACATACGGAAAGTGTTCCATTAGAGGGACTTTATTCAGGTTGCCAAGTCACGCCCACAGAAGTTAGAAAATGGCAGAATGAGGTTGCTTGTACAACCTTAATTCAGCTCCTCGTGCATATGCATCATGGCAGCCTTTAGTGATGTGATTACCATTTATCCACAGAACTAGAGCTTCGTTCACTGCACAGAACAGTGAATGAGGCAGAAACTGTAAAAAAAGGAAGTGGGTTAAAGCATTTGACTAGAACCCAGGGAGCTGGGTTCTGTCCCTAGCTCTGTCTCAGACTTCCTCTGTGATGATGGGGAAGGCTGTATCAGAATGCACATGCAAAAAGGGAGCCTAATTCAGATTGAACAAAATTAATTCTGACATTTCCTGACTTTTGAGTCCCTGACTTGTAACCTTAATGTATGAATGGATTTTTAAAAAATGCCATACAATCAGGTTACCAGCATCGGCAACTCTCACAATTTGATTGCAAATCTCATGATATTTGGTATTTATCTGAAAGCCCCAGCTCTTGGAGTCATGTGATTACGTGAGAATCTCAGCTTTCATTTTGTTTTGAAAGTAAATTTCTAGCTCTTATGGTCGCAGAGGAAAGCTTGAAAACATGAACTGAGTGAGACCTAAGGGCTGAAACCAAATGGCAAAGAAAAAGAGCAGAACATTTCATTTTCATCATGATTGTTATGCCAGTTCCATGATTTCATGGGGCCTGACTGGTGGTTTTTGAAGATTTGAGGTTGGGGATTCTGGGTTATAGTGATATAATCTGAAGGGTAAAAATCAACTTACCCAAATGGTTTGCATATCGACGGTTTATCTTCCTGGTAGATTTTATCATCATCCACAATCCAGGTGCAATGCAGAGGAGTTTGACACAGAGCCACCCACTCATCATCTTCTCTTGTCACCTTAATGTAGTACCATTTTGCTCCTGTCAACCCAACTCCATAGGTGAAGATTTTCCGGATACCAACTTCGTTTACAACTGACGTTTCCCCTGGTGAAACTCTCAGCTCGTCTTTAGTGAAGAATGACTTGAGGAGGTCGTAGGCGGGGATGGTCACAACCAGAGAATCACCCAACAATCGTAATCCCGGATTGGTACTAACAACAACAGTGACAGATCCCTTACTTTTGTTGGCAACTTGAATGACGCAGCTTGACATTTTAAGATGCTAAACTGGAGCAGAAAAGAAAATCATTATTGTTTCAGTCCTGGTGCCCCAAACCCTTGATTTTGATGAAGTCAAGTAGTTTTCTGGATTTAAAATAAAACGGTTTCTTATGATTAACCATGGGAACAAGCTACCAAGGGAAGCGGTGGATTCTCGATCTCTTGATGTCTTCAAATCCACACTGGCCACCTTTCTGGAAGCTGCTTCAACCAAACAAGTGTAACCCCCAAGGAGATGGCCTAGATTCCTGGGGCTCTGTCTGCCAGCAGCTCAGGGAGAGGCGCTGTCCCTGGTAGGGAGGGGGAGCCAAGGCAGACTTAGAGTCTGCCTGGCAACCAATAGGGAGTGAGATGCCCCTCCCAGGTTGCTCAGGAAAGAGGAGAAGCCATTTTGGAGTCAGTCTGGAGCCAGCCAGGGCAAGGGCAGGACTGGCTGTGTGGGGAGCTGGGGAGTCCCAGGCCTGCAGGCAGGTTCCCCCTGAGAACTGGCCTCTACGGACCTGACAGCAGATCCCTCAGCTGGGCTTTTCCCTCTCCACTGATGATTCCCAGTTTGTAGAGGTTTGCTGGGAAACTTCCCCAGCCAGGCTGAGTTCGCCCTCCAGCTCCCTAGGGGAGACCAGTCCCCACAAAAACAACAAGGAGTCTGGTGGCACTTTAAAGACTAACAGATTTATTTGGGCATAAACTTTCGTGGGTAAAAACCTCACTTCTTCAGACGCATAGAGTGAAAGTTACAGATGCAGGCATTAGATACTGACACATGGAGAGCAGGGAGTTACTTCGCAAGTGGAGAACCAGTGTTGACAGGGCCAATTCAATCAGGGTGGATGTAGTCCACTCCCAATAATAGATGAGGTGGTGTCAATTCCAGGAGAGGGAAAGCTGCTTCTGTAATGAGCCAGTCGCTCCCAGTCCCTATTCAGAAACAGACTTCAAAGAGAAACAGCAGAACTAAAATTCATTTGCAGATTTAACACCATTAATCTGGGCTTGAATAGGGTTTGGGGATTTTATAACCTGCTGCGTATTAAACCTGTGGAGGGACTTACCACCTCCTCCTGCTTGTCAGTCCTTTGGGCTGCACTGTACCTCATCAGCCACACTGCTAAACCACTGCAGAGATCTCGTGGTCATCGGTCATCAAGGGTCCCAACGGGACACTGATCTTACATTTGCTACATCAGGTCTCATGACTAGGGAAAGTCACGGGTATTATCAGCATGGGCACCGGTGACCCTAAGAATGGTGTTTTACCTGTTATGTTATATTTGTTTCCTGTTTAATATAATTACTGTGTTGAATACATGGTATGTGTTTGTGTTATTTCTTGGGAGTCTCCAACTATCTGGCAAGTAAGTGGGGGTTACCCTGTGGGGAGAATTTTCCTCCCACGCTGCCCTGGTGACCCTGCCAGGAAGGAGCGAGGGGGGTGGAGGCACTGCCAAATAAATTCATATGGAAAAATAAAGAAGATACGCCCTGCTGAGTGGGTGGCAGGATCCGGAAGAGCCCAGACCTGTCCATCAAAACCTGTAAACAGATTGGCATTAAAGACAGTAACCAGGTTACATCAAGTAGCCAAAACAAAGGGGAAAAAACAAAACCAACCTGAACTACTGCTACATTCACCGTTTCACACCGTGCCTAGAGCCACGTTCATTCCAGGGTCCTCCCAGACAGAGAATTCTGCCTTTTCCTAACTTTTGGGTTTAACATTCTTCTAACATAGTTACTTTGAGATGTAATATACACGTGGACCTTCTCATCAATTAGCACTAATTAGGGGACTGGATGTTTCAGCACATTGCTAACGGACTGCAGAGCCGTTCACTGGTCTGAATCCAGCCCAGCCCACTAGGGACTGAACGTTGTTCCCAGCTAATGGAGGTGTGGTGGCATCCATTAGATGAGTTTGGTGGGTCTCAGTTCCAGCTCCCACATTCCACACTCAGCACCAGGCTGTGCGCTCAGGGGCCCCCTCAAGCACCTAAAGTGAGAATCCAGATCACACGGCCTAGTCCTACACCTGCTTGAACCCTGTATAAATACCATAGAGAGGGTCTAGCATAGAGTGCTAGGTATTTCCGTGGGATCTTTGTGCCTGGAGCAGCTGCAGAATTAGAGCCGCAGAATTTGCTCCAGGACTAACAGGTTGTTCTCCGCAGATGTGAAATGCAGCAAACCCGTCGAGTGAGAAGGGTCATTCGTACATCGTCACCTCGCTGAGGACTCTACAGGTTTTACCTTCCTGCCGCTTTCAGAAGTCCCGGTTCCGTGTCTGGGCTGAAGCAGCTACTGCAGCTCGGCTGTTTCCTATGAAGGCAGTTGCTGAAGTGTATCGAGAAGACGCTGCGTGAGCTGAACACTGGCTAGAAAGGGCTGGGGGGCAAGAAGTGAAACTCAAAGGTTAATGTTGCATCCAAGTTCTGAGAAATCACACGACGGGGGAAATGGAAAGTAAAACTCCACTGCAAGGAACGTCCATCTCCTTCCTGCGAGGAACAGGAGCACTGACCCTCCCACCCCCCTCCACACACACACCTAGGAAACTCCACAGATTGGCTCCAACACGTCCTGGAGACGATGAACCCAACTTGGAAGGGGGAAGGAACAAACATCCCCACACGTGCTCCCCCGACAGCTCCTTACATGGGGCCCAACCCCAGGGGCCCTGAGTTGGGATGGGGTCAGAAAGCACCTGTCGCCCACCTTATCTACAGCTACCAGGGGCACCCGCCGCCCACCTTATCTACAGCTACCAGGGGCACCATTTCAGAACTGGGCGGGCGGGAGGGGGTAACATTAGCCATGATTCCAGGGGCTACTTAGGCACCTGAGATACCTAAAAAAAACAGGTTTTTTTGGGCAGATAACTTAGAAATGAGCTGCCAGGAGCACTGTATCTAATTCCTGTATAAAGAAAGAAAATTAACTAAATACGAGAGCTGACCTCTGTGCTGCTTTTCGTGCTGTCGTCCATCCCCATCGCCCGGGACCGATTGCTGGAGTCTCTGAGAACTGGCTGCCTTGGTTTTACTGCCATCTATCAGACGCCTCTTTTTTTGCAGCAGACACAGATGCCCTCAGAGACCTGGGCTCTACTTCCCCCACAGACTTCCTGTCTGACCCCAGGCCAGTGCCTTAGGGACAGAGATTCAAAGGTTTTTAGGCACCCGAAGATGCTGCGAGGCACCTAATGGGATTTACAAAGCACCAAATCTTCTAGGTGCTTTTTAAAATCTCACTAGGTGCCTAAATACCTTTGAAAATCTGGCCTTGAGTCTGTGTGCGCCTCAGTGGCCCATCTGTACAATGGGGATAACAGCCCTGCGCTAGAAAGGCTGGGAGGAGAAATCGGTTAGACATTGTGAGGGGCTCAGATACTAGGGGATGGGGCACCTGCTGTCCCTTCCCTCGGTTATGGCCCCTTCTTTTTACATCTCCCTCTTTTCTGAATGTACCTGTGGCTGTATGTCTTCGGAGTCCCCTGCCTTCTGTCTTCAAACCCGCGCCGCCCCTGGGATTCCTGCTTTACAGGCTCATCTAAGGGTACGTCTACACTGTGAAGTTGTCGACAAAACTTTTGTCTTTCACGGGTACTTAAAAAAGCCCCCTTCCCCCCCCCCCGCAAAAGACAAAAGTTTTGCCGACGCAAGTGGTGGTGTGAACGCGGCTGTGTCAGCAGGAGCGCTCTCCAGCTGACAAAGCGAACGCTGCTCGCGGGACTGGAAGTATTTCGTCAGCAAAAGTACCGACAAAGAACGTTTACACACGCTGACGTTTTGCAACAAGGCTGTGTCGACACAACCTTGTCGCTAAAAGCTGCGTGGCGTAGACAAACCCTGAGACTTCCAGATCCTTAATTTAACCACCAGCCTTAATCACCCTGCCTCCGGGTGTAAACACATCGCCTCTCCACACTCAAGCTGTGCTCAGAGACTCTGGAGGGGCAGAAGCTCCCCACTTCCCCGCCACGCCCAGGCTTAGCACTGCCTGTCTGAGCAGCCCACGCCAAGCTCCCCCAGGGCAGGGGGCATCCTGTCTGCCTGTGCCCAGGAGCCTCTGCAGGGCACAGGACAATCAACGCAGGAAACATAGGATGGGCCCAAAGGGAAGACCCCTGGGGCGGGGGTCGCTCCCCAGAATCCAGGTGGTGGATGGGGACCAAAGCTAGAGGCCTCCCAGGCCTGGCCAACATGGGTCCAGGAAAGGAGATGGGGAAGGGAGAGATGCTGACCCTCCACCACTCAGGCTGGAGGCTGCATCCTGGCCCCTCCCTCTCTTGGTGAAGTTGGGCACCTCAGAGCTCAGCCTGTCCCTGGCTGCAGGGTCTGAGGCACAGGGCCACCCAGGAACCTGCGCTGCCCACACACCCGCCGTCAGGTCACTTCCCCTGCTCCCCTCACAGGGAGCAGGAATCGCTTGCACAGCTGGCTCATGCCTTTATGCTCCTGGGGGCCCCCAGGGATGAGGCCCTAAACCCAGCATGGACAATGCAGCTTTCCAGGGGATTTCCAATCTCCCCGTACATCCCATCACCTGCACAGACAGGTGCATGGATGGTTAGGGCCTGCTCCTGATGGGATCTCAGCTCTCCTTGGAGTCAGTGGGTGTAGGGATGAACATACCATTACAGAAGTTAACCGTTTAAACGATTAAAAATATTTCATTTAAACAGTTCACCGATTAAGCGGCTGGGGCTGCTCCGGGGCCGGCTGGCCTGGGGGTTTCCGGTAAGACTAATGCTTCCCCGTTAACCGGTTAACATTTGACATCCCTAAGAGGGAGTGGAGAGTGCACAGGCCCCAGCACAAGTGAGGGCTTTATTCCTTAATAAAGCCTGGCTCCCAACCTGGTGCCCTGAAATTCAACTCCTAAATCTATAGGCAGGCCCCTGAGTAGACATTTGACCGGACTTCCTGCTGCACAATCAATGGGCACTGCACTAGCCCTCCGGCTGCCAACGCCCCAGTGCAGGCCAGGGCCACGCAACAAGGGAACCGCCACAATTATTCATGAAAGTGCTGCCAGGTCCCTTTGGGTTTGTGTGATGAACCATCACTTCAGAGTCAGGGCTGGGGATTTCTGAGGCTTGTTATTTTAGGCAACAAAATGAGGAAGGCCCCCAGCTTGCAGGGAGCACAGTTAACTTCGGGCCTAAAATACATGATACCCCTCCAAAAAGCCGTAAGAATGAAGCAGCCCCACACACAACATACAATGGAAACCCCACAAACCCTCCCCCAAGCAGGGTTCAGACCCCAAAAAGGGAGAAGTGCCAGACACTCCATAATATCTGCTAGGGTCCGTGCTAGTGATTTACATGGAAGGGGCCCAGATCCTGTGGTGATAAGACAGCCGGAGAAAACCCTGAGACAGAGAAATGAGGAACAATTGAACATGGCAGGAGAGGGAGCAGTGAAGCAATTTGGAAGTTCAGGCCAAACTTTAGCTACTTAAATGTGGATCTTGGAGCTTGAAATTAGGCACTTGGGGTTGAAAATGGGCTAATGCCAGTACGGCCAAAGCACAAAACCAAACAGCAACAGCGTCCAATAAACACCTTTGGTTTTAGTACAAGGTAAAACCTTTATTACAACTTTTCATTCATAGGTATACAACATCTGAAAGACAGATATGGGGAAAAAAAGTAATATTGTTATAAAATGTCACATTTATTGCTACATTACTGTTATATACAGGACAGTTCTCAAAATCTACTTTAAAAAAGTTCGGATTATTTAAAAATTCCAAATAATCCAGCCAGCTGTTTTGACACTTGTATAAAATTATTTTTAAAAAATGAAAACAATTCATATCTTGAGGCACTCGGAAACACAATTTTATCCCCCAATTGTGATTCATTTAAAAGAACAATGCATTTCCCCACCCCCAAATACTTTATTTTTTTGCTGGGTTAGGCATATATATATATATATACTATATATATAGTTCAAAACTATAATGTGTATCTGATTTAAGAACAAGGATTTTCAGCCACTTAAGTACATCTGGATTTACAGGTAGGCAGCATAAACATCAAAAGCCAGGACCAATTTTTTTTTTAAAAGGCCAAAAGAAACCTAAAGGGTTAAAAATAAACAGCTTCCACAGGCTTTCCCCCTACAATTGCCCTTCCCCTACCCCCAAGTACTAAAAATATATCGGGGAATCAAGTAGCACTTCGTTTTCTAAACTAGTTTGAGTCTTCTCTAGAAAATAGGTCAGTTTCCCATAGGCAATGAACTAAATGCAGGTTGATGGAAGTATTGTCCTTAGTCAACGTTGCCAGGTGGTGCTTTCTCTTCTCCCTGCCCCCAGCCAAGAGAAATGCTAAGATGCAGACAGGGTAAATGATTTCCCACATTTGTGTTTCCCTCCCCAAAGACACAAGATTTGCTTGAGCTGGTGGGCTCCCAAAGGGACTTTAAAAAGATCTGGCACTAAATGGAGATTCTTGGCTCCCCCCCCCTCAGCTCATCTTCGCGCCATTCAAAGTAAATCTGTCAGCGTCCCTCTGGAAATGCAGGGCCCACGGGCAGCTCAGTGGATGCAATGGGACAGAATGGGGATGGATGCTCCATCACGCCAACAGACACTCAAGCATGATGCCCCCTTCAAAGTAGCGCCTTCTCCTCCAAGCAACCGCTCAGCAGGACTCTAGAAACCACCTTCCCTGTACCCAAGGCAGGCGGCTCTCCGACCACAGCTGCCATATGGCTGATTTGAAGACGACAGGTGGAAGGAGTATTATTTTCCCTAACCAGGACAATGGATGCTTGGCTGGAACAGAATCAGCATCGAGATGGTTGAAAGCACAGGAAGAGACAACTTGGGTAGCACCAGGAAGGGGGCAGGAGGGTGGCAGCCCAAGCAACAGGCAAAGCAGGGTTGAAGTGGCTGCTCAGGCCCCAGAGCGGTCTCTGTCCCAGGGGCTTTGCTCCACCATGCCAGACATTCGAGTGGCCCTGACCTAGCCTATCCCTCGGGCCACTAGCCTGGACAGGTCACAGAGATGATCTCCTGGACCTTGGATGGGGATGTAGGGAACCCTAAAGATAAGCCTCCTCAGCCAGCCTGCTGCCCCTGTGGCGTCTGGCCACCAGCTGGAAGACACAACCGGGTGAGGTGTGGACAGACGCATCCTTGTCCCAGACAAAAGCCGCCCATGGCACCTCCTCCAATTCAGCTTTTGCTGCTGGGCATTAGTGCAGAAAAAGCCACCAACACACTCCTGCCCGGGCTGAGCGCGTGCTCCTGCAAACCACTTCTGTCCGTTCCCTCTGCCAGCTCACCCCTAGCTCTGGGTCACTGCTCTCCCTGAGCGCAAACACCGGTGCACGGGGCAGATTTGGTTTTGGAACAGGGTG